CCTGCCTCCGCGCGCCAGCGGCCCCGCCGGCCCGAGCCCCGCGCTTCCTCGGCCCCGGAGCTCCAACCGCTCTCACTCACTTGTCTTTCTCAGTGCCGAAAATGGAAGCCAAATACTCCGCCATTTCCCACCCGCCGCCGACACTGCTGTCGACGCCGACGCCGTCGCCGCCGACACGGCCCGACGCTCGCCGGATACGTCACCCCAACGCGACGACGCACTCCCCGCCCCCGACGGCGTGGCGCAGCTGCCCAATCGGGCGAGGTCATGCCTACGTGTAGGCGGGAGTTGGCGCACGAAGGCCCCGCCTCGCGGCCCTCCCGGCGCCCGCGCGCCCCCTGCCGGGACCCTACCGCCCGTCTTACCAGGCTTGTCGCCTCACTCCCGGGAAGTGCGTGATGCGGACCCGGGCCGGTAGGTGAGGGCCAAGGCGCCGAGGCGCAAGTTTAAAGTCGGGGAGAGGAAGCGGGGACTGCGCGGAGCGGTTCCCTGCAGAGCGGACACGCAGATGCTCGGAAGTGAAGTCCCTTTCCCGCGTCCTCTCTGTATGGGGACCCCCCCCCTCCGATTTGAACCGTTCCGGTTGCACAGTGGTTAAGAGCTACGGCTGCTAACTAAAAGGTCGGCAGTTCGAATCCACCAGCTGCTCCTTGGAAACTCTATGGGGCACTTCTACTCTGTCCTATAGGGTCGCTAGGGGCCGGAAGCAATTCGTTGGCAACGGGTTTGGGTTTTTTTTTTTTTTTTTGGTTTCCGCGCGCTGACCTCTGCAGAGTTAAGTTCGGGGCGCCCCATGCAGCTTCACTTCCGTCTTGGGAGGAGGGGCCGCGCTTAGTTTATACTTGGAATAATGAACACGGTTTGAAAAGGTTTTAGTCACCACAAGAGAGATCACCCAAGACGTCTTAGGGCATGTTGCTAACAGACATAAGCCAGTGGGTCCCCAGACCTCGCAAGACTTTCGAATCGGTATCTTAATCAGGCAGCTGTGGGGAGGTATTGGTGGCCATGGTGGCTTCTGAGGCGGGGCAGGAGGAGTCCTACAGACCGTGGGCCTTACTCCGTGTTATGGATTGAGTTGTGTCCCCCAAAATACGTGTTGTAAATCCTAACCCATATAGTTGTGGATAGGAAACCCTGGTGGTGTAGTGGTTAAGAGCTACAGCTGCTGACCAAAAGGTTGGCAGTTCGAATCCACCAGGCGCTCCTTGGAAACAGTATGGGGCAGTTCTACTTTTCCAGGGTTGCTGTGAGTCGGAATCAACTGATGGCAACAGGGTTTTTTTTATAGTTGTGGATGTAATCCTGTTTGGGACTAGGTTTTTCTACGTCATGTTAATGAGGCCGCATCAGTGTAGGATGTGTTTTAAACCAATCACTTTTGA